GGGGGGGGGGGGGGGGGGGGAGCCTACACGCGATCGAATTGCTTCATGTCGACCACTGGGCCCTGTGTGCTGTTGATGAGTGGAGAAAGGCGCAACACCAAAGCAAAGAAACGGATGCATGCTTGATGGATGCGGCCTTCGTGCCTTCCTCTCTCCCCCTTCACGGACCATTCTGGGCTGTTCGGGCTGCAGAGTTTCTCCTCCTTGGCGCGTTTGAGGGCCTTCTCCACGAACTTGTCGTAGATGGCCTCGTCGACGAACACGCGGCTGCTCGCAATGCAGGACTGGCCCTGCTCGATGGACAAATGAAGAGGGAGGGGTCCGTCAGCTCGACTAAGCCCCCGCGTACTTACCGCATTGAAGAAGAGGCCCTCGTGCGCCACCGTGAGGGCCTGGTCGAGATCGGCGTCCTTGCACACTATCAAGGGGCTCTTGCGGCCCAACTGACTCACACATCCGTCACATCCACACACAAGAGACACATTTCACTTGTGTGGATGGAAATTGACGCATCAGTGTCCTTCCTCCTCACCTACCTCAGTGGTGACCTTCTTCATCCCACTCTGAGCTGCAGCCAAGAGGACCTTCTGAGCAGTGTCGACGGACCCGGTGAAGGCCACCTTGTCAACCATGGGATGCCGCACGATATATTCGCCAGTGGTGGGGCCATGGCCGCTCAGGATGTTGATCACACCAGGTGGGAACCTGCACACACCCAGGACACGTGGGCGTGGTGTGCGGTGTTTGTGTGTCTGTTGCTGGCTACCCTACCCCGCTTCTTTGCATAGGTGTCCCATCATGAGCCCGGTGAGTGGCGTCTTCTCGCTGGTCTTGATCACCACCGTGCAGCCCGCCGCAACCGCCGGAGCCACCTTCCAACTAAACATCGCCAAAGGAAAGTTCTGCAGCACACATGATGGATCGGCGTGTGGGCGAGTGTGTGGGCCACTTGCTTGCTCACCCATGGGATGATCTGTCCACAGACGCCGATGGGCTCTCTGCGTTGGTAGCACAGCCAGTTGGCGGAGGCGTTGCCCGCCGAGATGGGGATCTGTTTGCCGTCCAGCTTGCCGTCCGCCCACCCGGCGTAGTAGCGGTACACCGCCAGCGAAAAGGGCACGTCAATCTCCCTGTGCACACACGATCGCGCACCACAACATAGAGACCGTTTGTTGCTGCTGCTGCCTTTTGGTGTCTGCATCTCTCTCTCTCTCTCTCTGTGTGCGTGTGTCAGAGGGCTCACTTGGCTTTGGTGAGTGGCTTGCCGTTGTCGAGCGATTCCATCTCAGCCAGCTGGTCCATGTGCTTGTCCATCAGGTCGGCGAGCCTGTTGAGGCACTGGGCGCGGAAGGCCCCACTGCTCTGGGACCATCCCTCGAACGCTGACACCGGGCACAACACGACACAGCACACAGTCCCTTCATGCACCTGTGTCTATGTCCGGTGCTGTGCCCACCTCTGCTGGCGGCCTTCACAGCACGATCAACGTCATCTTTCCTGACAACACACACTCACACACGCACACACTGAACCTTTGCCATCCTTCTCCCGTCGCGTTGGCTCACCCAGCCTCCTGCACACGTGCGATGACTTTGGCGTTGGTGGGATCGGAGGTGTCGAAGTGCGTCCCATCATGCTCGTCCACAAACTCATTGTCGATGAACAATCTAGTTTCCAAAGGCAGGCCGCTGACAGGAAGGGACTCGACGGCAACAGTACCGTTCATCTGAGCACACAGCCACGGGCAGACACACGGTGTGCGATGCCGACGGAACGGCTACTCGGTGAATGCACCAGAGAGCGCATCTCTTTTCTCACCTCGTTGGCCATATTTGCGCGGTTTTCTCTCGTCTGTCTAGTCCGTGTAGCCTGGATCTACTGCGGAGTCCCCAGGGCTAAGCTTGCCTAGGGTGCTCCCTGAAACCGCTGGTGTGAGCTCGCAGGTTGGAAGATCAGCGATGTTGCTGCGGCTGACGCGTCCCCTCCTAACGACCAATGCTCGTGTGGGAGCTCGTTTCCCGCAGTCGACGCCGGAGTTCGACCCGCATCTGGCGCATGGCAAGCACGCCGCCATAGTGCACACAGGGCCGCCCACGACGCTGCCCAAGGGGACGCCCCTCATGACGCACTGGTGGCTGCTCAACTTCATGCTCTTCTCGGCCGGATTTGGCGTCGTCATGACCAAGTGGGAACTCAACCACTACTACAGCAAGGTGGGCGAGAGCATCAGGCAGGCAGAGCGGGCAGGCAGGCAGGCAGGGAGAGAGAGAGTGGCGGAAGGCAGCAGGGCACAGGGGAGACCACCGTGTCGGCTGCGTCTCGCGATGGATCTGTGGGGTGTGTGTCTGTGTGTGTGTGTGGCTGCTGCAGCACCAGAAGTACTACGACACGGTGTGGTCGAAATACCACTACTGCGACCTGCAGTACGCGTGGAACACCGAGCATGTGCCCGAGCCCATCCTGATCCCCTCACGCGAGGGACTCCCCATCTAAACACATACACAACAGGGTGCGTGTGTCAGATAGACCAGCTCACCCGGCAGACAGGCGCGAATCCCTTCCCTTCCTCAACGTTGGCTTTGCTTCTCTCACCTCAGGCCGTGTACAAGTGCTTGGTGCGAGTCGGCAGTGCTTGGCTGCGGGGGGTGTAGGGGTATGTATGTAAGTGTGAGGAGGGTTGTGTTTTTCCTCTGCCCATCCAAACACACAAAAGCAGCGCTTATCGTGGTGCTGTCGTGCCTGCCTGATCTCCGCCTGCCTGCCTGTCTGGGGTTCAGTCAGGATGAGCAACCGAGTGTTTCATGCGGTCTGGCTGGCTGGGTGTGGGTTGTGATGGGTCAGCGCTGTGTGGAGTGGGGTGGGGTGGAGTGACGTCGTGACGTCGTGTCTGTAGGGTAGGGTAGGGAAGGACGGCCGGCTGTGGAAGAGCCCTCTTGGCTTCTTGCAGCGTGTACATGAGCTAGCTAGTAGATCAGACGAACTGTTTCAGACAGACAGACCGTTCCAGTGAATGAATCATCGTCAGTCAACATCGATCACCAATGGACACACACCGGTACGACTGACTGGTCAGCCCAGCCAACACACCGATGTCGCTGCATTGCGTGGTATATACAGCCCACCCACGCACAGCCAGTTTGCAGAGGGTGCCCCCCCCCCCCCCCCCCCCCCCCCCCCCCCCCCCC